GTACGTTAAGCAAAAACTGGCAAAAGTCATGTAACCACAGAATGCCACAATTGATTCTAAAGCTGACCCACCCAACATGTGGTCACTTGGCTGTGAGAGGGCAATGGTGAAATCATTTATGATGACCCATGGTGGCTTTACGGGCTGTTAAGCATCTGTTTCCATGACTGTCATAACACTGAACAGTTGTAAAATGACCAGTTGTTAATCAAGAGTACCTGTAATCTCTTTTCCCCTGCTTTTAATCACTGAATCAAAATAGAAAAATTACTAGTGTCTATTTTGTTAGTGCTCATTTGCCATACAGTCCTTCTTGGCTTTTGGATAGTAAATAAACCTAGCATGTTTTCAAAAATATCATCTTGGTAGAGAAAGAAAAGGAAAACAAATAAGATTACCTGTAGCCAAAGCTTGTTTCCATGAACAGTCCTACCATTGGCGGTGCAATGAAAATTAGCAAACTGGCCAGCGTTGACTTCTACACTCTGGAGGCGCAGGAAATGAGGTGTGCTGGCTGTTGAAAATAAAAAAGAGGTAAAGGAAGAATCATATTATTACCAATGGCAATAGCACTTAGATTTATATACTGCTCCACAGTGTTTTACAGCACTCTCTGAGAAGTTTACAATTGCCCCCAACAATCTGGATCTCATTTTATTGACCTCGGAAGGATAGAAGGCTGAGTCAACCTCAAACCCATCAGGATTGAACTCCAGTCTGTGGGCAGAGATAGCCTGCATTACTACATTCTAACCACTGCTCCATCAGTGCTCCTATTAATCCCACATTATTCTAATTGTCTTTTCTTACTCAATCTAAGAATTGCTTTCACAGAATAGTAAAGTTGGAATGAGCCCTTCAGACTTCAGTAAAAGAATTCAAATCCTATTTTGTTTTAAACATTTGAATAACATACAGTATTTATATTGTAAGCCAAGAAATATCAACTGAAATTAATTTTAAAATATTTATTTATAATTATTCATAATATTGCATATTATAAATATATTTTACATTGCAATTATTTCTTTTTTACAAAAAATCTAATTCCTAATGACAGAACAATATTAGCTTTCTGTTTCTATTGAGCAACAAACTATTTTGGCTATATAACTGTCTTGTAAAACATTTCCATAAAGATTGTACTGAAATCTAGCTGATGTTTTTAATAAAAGCTATAACATACTGAAATCAGTTATCTGGCAAGAATATTAAGAGATTATTCTTGATCGCTCTTTTTATACTCAAAGAAAGGTAGTTTATATACAGATAAATTATGGAATAAGTAAAATCAAACCTTCTTCAAGTTGAGTTCAGTTCCTATTGATTTCATGAACAACGTATAGTTTTCTTGAAAAAAGTATGGAATGTACTGTATTTGTTATGATCTTCTGGGATGTTTTTCAACTCCTTAATCTAGCTCACAGTCTTCCAATTCACTAGGGGGCTCTCCATGAAACTTTATAAGTAGGTCTCACACTGTTTTAAGTTAGGAATGCACATAAGGTCAGCCAGAAATTGCTGAGACATTTTAGAACTAATATATTTTACTGCTGGGAATGATCAGGAAATGCATGTAATATAGATCCAGCATTACTGCATTGCTGGAACAATGCTTTTTTTCCTTTTTGAAAGGCCAGATCCTGCTCCAATTGCCTTTGAAAGTTTATGTAACATGAACTTAGTCTCCTATCATCAGCTAGCAGAAAGTATGCTTTTCAACTATCTTAGAAAATTTATGGTATTTTATTTTAAGAGTTCTAGGCCCCTAAAGATTTAAATGGGCCCTTTATTTGTGGCTCAGAATAAAATAATGACAAATTTATTTCAACAATATTCTGAAATAATTGATAATATAATATTCACTTACTACATGGATGACTTAAAACCTTCACATCATCAATAGCCAGATATCCTTGATGACCTGAAGTGATAACTTCAAAAACTACCTGAAATATGAAAAAGCAAGTAATATAAATAAATCTAATAATAGAGTTATGCTTCTGAAAAGTTAGCATAAATACAGCTATTTATTTCTTTAAATAGAATGTTGACTATTTTAAATATATAAATAGTTAAGCATTTAAAATAATCCTGGAAAAGATAGGAATTCAAATTTACATTCATCAATAATTTTACCCATGCACTGGCTGTATTGTTATTTGCAGCCAATTTTATTATGCTAATTCAGTAAATAAAATACTCCTCCAAACATTTTGTGTTTATCAAATTTATACCAGTTAGATTAAATATTAGGCTAAGAATTATTTGGCAGAGTGTTTTTGTGCTCAATATGCAATTTTCATCCCAGTGGTATCAATTGAACAGTATAACATTTTTTTCACCAAGGTAGTATACTACTATTGCTGTTGATATTTCCTGGTTGCTTGAAAGTTATATTAAGGAAGAATAAAATATTGAGGAAAGACATTACAGTTCTGTCCTACTCACTAGTCTAATAAATTTTAGCATGAAATCAATGTACAGTAATATATTACAATGAATCTGTATTTCATGTAACATTATTCAGTATATAATTAGTATAAAGCAAGAAAGAAAAGTTGGACACTTATGTTTAACCAAGGAGCCTAAAAAATGCACTGTTTGATGGTAGTGAAAGCTGGTGGGTAGTCAAGAAAATAAATAGATACATACTTCTTATATAAAAATATTTTTTTTTCTAGTGCACAGTCAAGACAACTGAAACAATTGTCTTGATATGCTAGTAGAAAATCAGATTCATAATTCAAAGTCAATGATCTGGTATTACTAACATTAGATGCAAAATGAACAAATCATGCCATTGTTCTCTATCCCTACCCCTACTTCTAATAAGTAATAAAATCTCTATACTTCAACTGCTTTTGCTGCAATTGAAAATAGTGCAATCGTGCAAATATTTATCTGAATCAACAGCTCAGATNCTATTATTACTATTTATTTGTTCTATTCACTATGCAAAGGGACTCCCCCCCTATCCCTCTCTCCCTCTCTCTTTTTTGGGGATACAAGGCAGAAGACCAAAGCTAATTCCCCACTTAAAATATAGGTAAGTTCATTTTACTGTTCAAATATACTATGCTTGATAAAGCTTTTGCTTTGGCATAATGTACTTTCCTTGGTGGACACAATTTTAATTTCATATCACTTTTTAATTATAGTACATAATATACAAGGACTATCTACTAACACTTTTCTTTTTTATGACCCTGAAGTTCTTATCTGGGATAGAGTCAGGGTGATAGATTGATTTGCCTGTTAACTGGCTGGATATTCTTCCTGACGCTTATGAAGAGTTTGCAGCAGATATTTTTTTCTTTGTGCCCTGGGAGAGAAATTTATGCTGCCTAGGATCGAACTCTCAATTTTCCAAGTGGGAGGCAAGTGTCTTCACTCTCTACCACATTGCTTTGGACTATCTACTAACATTCAGATAGGCGGAAGGTGAATTTCTTAGAATGTGAGTGCTACCTTTCCTTTTCACTCTTCCTCCTTCATTTTAACTTTCATCATAGAGAACTGCGAAAAACCCTTGTTTTCATATCCTGTTAGTTTCCATGCTTATATTTCTCCATTGTGCTTTTTCCTTTAGCCTCATAACAGGCCTATGATATCTCAGGTGCACCATTATTGAGTTTATTTTATTATATCATCCAACATCTTGGTTCAAGAATATTTATTTAGTTCTCAGTTTTTAATTCTCCAGCTTGTCTTTATATTACTGATACTCTAGTATATTGCTTGATACTGTGTTAAAAAGACTATTTTGTCTTAATTAAATTCAAAGTAACTAAAAACCAATTACTCCATTCCATAATCAACCAATGACATTTTACAAAATAACAAATATGAAATCTGTTCTTCTAAAATGACATCTAATAATTCTATTCATTTTGTGATTAACACTTCCTAATGGAGATAGATGAGCTCTTTATCACTCATCTCCAATTAATTTAGAAATGATCTATACTTTTTTTCCACCAAAGCCAGAACTCATAACATTTTTCAAATGTTCTTCTTCCTTTCCTGACAAAAACATGACCTACGCTAATTATACAACTCAGAGAACTGCATCTCTGCTTTGGCTCTGAGGAATATTCCTGTTAAGCAGATTTAAGATATTTCTGTTATTTTGCACATGAACTAGAAAAGCCTGTGAAAGCAATACTTTAATTAAACTTTTCTCTAGGTTGGATTTTAATCCATATTAAGGAAGAATTAAAAATCTTAAAATCCTTATCCATTTTTTGAAGCTAGCATTGCTAAGCCCTTGTCCCTCAACTTGAAGCTTGTAATTTTACTGAAAATGAAGACGAATGTGGTAGCGCCTTTTCTAATAAACAAATTTTATATGTATAAGCGTTCATGAACTGCAGCTCAGTTCATCAAATCCCAAAAGTGGCTTGACTGATACAGGGTTTAAACTCAGATGAGTCAGGGTAGGAAGAAAGATAAGACAAGACGGTTATGGAGGGTATCAACTAACAATTGCAAAGTGTTACAAATCTATTTTCTGTTGTTTTTGTCTCCTATATTTCTATAACCAAATTGTCTTTTCCTTTATCTCCCACCCCACCTTATTTCAACTTCAGACTCTTCAACCTTGAGGGTAACTCATAAACAAAGATGGGTTTGCACCCAGTTTTCCAGAGATGGGAAGGAGAGAAATTCAGTCTTTCATGGAGTGAATAATCCAATGGTTGTCCCTAGAGGAAAATTGGTGATAAGCAGCTCACTGCTGAAAAGAACAGAAGTCTGCAATCAGCAAACCAGATAAGTTATCAGGGAAGATCTATTGATTCCTAAGTGTGAAGAACATGAGTAAACATGAGGAGTGAAGTTGATCCAACTAATCAAATCTACTGATCACTATCCCTTTCTTGTTTCATTTTTGAACAAATTACACAAGTCAAAATGGTCCTGAAAAGAATATTGAAAGACTATGCGGAGCTAGGAAGAAAAGTATTTAGATACAGTAGTATTTCTATCCATATTTCTGACTGAATTTCATTGCCCAAGGAAGGAATGGAAGATTGTGGAGGTAAATGGCTGGTTCAAGGAATGGTGTCGCTGAGAAAACTTTGGATTCCCTGGTCTGATTTCTATTGAGAGAAAAGGCCTCTGGTAAGAGAGTGGCTGCAGCTCATAAAGACTGACATTAATACTGCTGGAAAACATCTTGATGCATTTGTCTACAAGAGTTTTAAACTACATCAGGCAGGAGAAGATATTAATACCATAACCATACTCCAAGCATACATTTGAAGCCTGTAAACCATACAAGAAGAAAAAGAAGTGGCAATAAGGCATATCCAGGAATATATTAGGAGAACTTGCAAGGAAACGTAAGAAAAGTAGTTCTAAATAAGTCAGTTACCTGACTTATTTAGTACTACTTTTCAATCCTCAAAGTATGCTCAGAATGCTGAGAATGATCAATGCTCAGAAAAAAGTGGGGAAAACTTGAAGTCCCAGTATGTGGATGGCAAATATGACTTTGTTAGTATTACTGAAGTCTGGTAGAATCGAATGTATTATAATATAATACCACAAGCATATAATTTGTTTAAAAGAAACAGAGCCAACGAAAGGGAGGGTTGTCGTATTATACAGTATATAAACGATGATACTATAAAACTATACCCAAGCATCTGGCTGAATATTGAGGGAAAAATAAATAATTATTATTCTGCTGCAGATGTGTATGCAGACCATTCAATCAAATAGGTGAAATTTTCACATATCAGATTTATGTGCAGAAAGCACACATTACTCTAATGAGGTATTTCAACTATCTCAACATGTGCTGGAAATCAAATTCTGGCAAGTGGGAGATCTAGCAGATTATTGATGTGCTTTGTAGACAACGTTAACACCTAAAAGGTACAGGAAAGAACTAGACGATCAGCTAATATCTACTAGCAGGAGATAAATTATTGAAGAAATTGTAGGAACCTTAGAAAGAGTGACCCCATGAATTTAGAACTCAGCATAATTCACCCAAGACAGAGACAAGTTAGCTTTATTATGGTTCTAGATTTTCAGACAACTGACTTCAATAAACATGGCGAAAAAGCAGAAATAATTCCATGATGGAAATCCTGAAGGAAAAAAATAATTCAGGAGAGTTGGGATAATTTTGCAAAAAAGCAAACAAAAAACTCAGATAATTAAAGCCCAAACACACACAATACCAAACAGAAAAGAAAAATGAGACAAAGCTAATGAGACTAGCGTGGTTGCATAAAAAAAAATCCTGGTAAATTGACAGCAGATAAGAAACAGATCTTAAAATGAAAAGAGTAGCCTAGGTAGCATAGGTAGTCCTCTATTAAAAACTATTCATCAATTGCAGTAACAACAGCAATGAAAAAAGTACTTATAAGTCTGGTTTTCACACTTATGACTATTGTAGTATCCCAATGGTCATGTGATCAAAATTCAGATGCTTGGCATCTGGCATGTATTTATAACAGCTGCACTGACCCGGGGTCATGTGATCACCATTTGTAACCTTCCCAGCCAGCTTCTGACAAGCAAAGTCAATGGGAGAAATTAGATTCACTTAATAACTGCATGATTCACCTAACAACTGCAGTGATACACTTAACAACTGTAGAAAGAAATGGTTGTAAAATGGGAAAAACCCACTTAACAATGGAAATTTGGGGCTCAGTTGTGGTTATAAATCAAGAATTACCTGTACATCAAAAACCATTCATTAGGAAATATTCCAAATCTGTAAGAATGGGCTTAGGCTATTGCATGCTTGCCCAACCTATGGGCCGTGGCCCACTAGTGGGC